GGAATTAATGTAAATAATTCGACCATTATACCAATTCCAATCTTAAATATATACAACTCCGGAATTTTCAATTTTGTGCTATAAAAATCAATATATACCTGTTGTGGTGCTATATAAAAAGGACCAATTGATAAAGCACCACTATGTGCTTTACTTGATGCTTTCGCTTCATTTGATAAATCATAATACATTATATTAATTAACATTGAAGTAAAAAGTAAAACAAAACAACAAGTACATCGTTGAACACGTGTAAACTTATTCGATGGTGGACGAGAAAATATTGAAAACCATAAATGACCATCGGAAATACTATGATAAGCTTTTTTTGATAATACATATGAAAATTTTTGTTTTTCTGTCTCACTAGCAATTGGTAAAGTTCGTTCAATCTAAATTGAACACAAAAATAAGGAATAGTATGTTTTCAATTACACGACTTACTCGTCCATCATCTTTTTCAACTGCAAACCATTGTTGACAAATAAAATAAGATTTATCCATCGTTTGTAAATCTCGAACAATAATATATTTTAAATACCATGATGCAGAAGAACCTTCACCTGAATTATCATGCCAGATACGAATATAATTTAATAAACCCAATGATCTATATATTCATTTTAAATAAAATCTTTGAAAAAAAAATTTTACTTTGGGACGGCAATAATAAAAGAATCAATGTCACCACGTTGAAAAATTTTCCGATGAGGATCAGAAAATAATCGAATTTGTGTTTGATCATCATCACCCGATAAAACAAAATAAACCTTGCAGAAAGAAAGAAAAGTTTCATTAAAATAATTTTTTCTTTGTACTATATTACTTTTGAATCTGTTCCAGCATTTGTTCTTTGACCAGTAAAAACAAGAATTTGATAATAATAATGATCAGATTTATTATTATCAGCCAATGGTGTTACTCCCAACTAAAATAAGTCACAAATTTTGATTTTATGAAATATATGAAACAATGATTTAGTTTACTTTTTCAAAATCTTTCTTGTCTTTAAAACGTGCATAAATCATTAAAATAATATAAACTATTGAAGTAAATATCACTGTTAAATAAACTGTTTTATTTTTCGTAAAATCAGCATTTGCAAAAACATAACTCCAATTAATTGGTGCAGGTAAAACAATAAAACCACCAGCAAATGTCGTTAAATGAGTTGAAAGACATTCCGTTTCATAGAGATTTGTCAAAGGGCCAACTGTTAATCCATCTGATTTCCATTGATTATTTTCATCAAGATAATAACAACCTGATGTATATATACGAAGTTCATAGTTTGACGCAAAATTAAATGGTTCATTGGTGATTGGTAAAGACGTATTTATTGAAGAATTATTTAAACAATAATTATTCATTTCTGTTGAATTTAATTCTCTTATTCCAAATATTAATGATTGATGAGTAGGTGTTAGTTGATTATCAATAAAATATCGATATGTATCATCATTGGTTAAATCTATAATTACAGTAAAGAAATCTAGGTGATTGTGAAAGAAAAGAATACATACTGAAAGGACAAAAAATTGCCCATCCATCAATAATATTAATTGAACTATTTAATTGTGGTGTTTGATCAAATTTATAAATAAATAAATAAGCAAGACTTCTATTTAAAGAATGAATTTCAAAGTGAACTGAAATCGGAAGTGAACTTGTTATATTAATATAATGATAATTAAATAATAAATTATTGATAGTTGAATCTATCGATGTAACATTTTGCAAATACATTGATGGAATTAATACATTTGGATCACGAGGAATAATCAATTGTATTGAATTATTTTGATGAGCTTCAAAAGAAACCTCATTTCCATTTTGATCAATAATTGAAAGTGAAATTGATCTTGAAAGATTTGTATTTTGAAAATTTCCAAATGAGGCAAGTGGATCTACTCTTGACTGAATAAAACAGAAATAATTTAATAAAAAATGATTCAAAGTGCAGAAAATTACTCGAAGTGAAATTGAAGAATTAGACGTTGTATTTAAAATAAAATCTAATGGAATATTAAACTGAGCATTTTCAACTTGTTTCACAAGTCTATCTTTGAGTGATTCAATTGATATAGTTTCTAATGATACAAATGATTGGGATGTATTCATTAGATACTTTTGACCGATATTTATATGAATATTTAATGAAGAAGTTAATAATGATATCATTTGTGTTACTTGACTATTGATTTGATTAGCTAACTGTTTTTGATAATAAATATTTCGATTTTTTTCGATTGTTTCAATAGAAAAATCATTTCCATCAGAAAATAAATCTTTTAAATAATCAAAATTCAATAATAATTAAACATTTAAAAGATCTTACTTAAATTTGACCATTCAGATTCAAGATTAGTATCATAATCAGTAGATATGGCATTTGCTCGAGAATAATCCAAATCAAGTACATCTGTTCGTCCTTGTAATGGCCCATTCACACCCTAAAATCATCAAGAGTTTCATAGAGAGGTGACAATACTGATTTCCTATATTTTACGTTTAAAATATTTGAAGCACATTGAAAAAGTTGATTTGATGCTGATTGAGCATCTTCATATGATATTCTTTCAAACATTGAATATAAAGCAGCAGATAATTCATAACATCGATTTGATACAAGCATCTAGAATTATTTAAAAATCTTCAACAAAAATATTTTTTATAATTTTACTAAAGTATTCCGTGTTAATTGATTTGTTGCTTGAGTCAATTGAGCTAATGATGTTGATTGCAATATAATACTATTTGATGTTGTTATGAGAAGATTAGTTAGAAATGGTACTAGATAATCTCGAACATTTGATAGAGAATTTAATTCTATATTGTAGTCAATCAAAGCTGATTCATTCATTGGTATTGAAATCTATTTTATATAGAAAGTAAATCGAATAAAATTTATTAAATTCAATTACTTGTTGTAATCTTTGACTTCTTAATGGTGATACTGAAATGTTTACAGCTGGTATTCCATCTAAAACAAAATTTATCTTAATTATTTCTGATAAATTGAATATGGATATTTACTCGATATAGCATTATCTAAATTTTCACTATTCATTTGATTGAGTTCTTGTGATAATGAAATGATCATTTGTCCAACAACATTTTGATTTCCACTTGAAAGTAATCGAACAATTGGATTATTTGTTATTGTATTTGATGAATTTATTATTTTATTAATTAAATCATTAATTGTTGCCAAATCTGCAATAATATTAACAGAAGTTATATTCACTTGTGTAACAGAACCCACAAGATCTCGAACATGAACAACAAGATTGAGTAATGAAGTTTCATTATCACCAGCTGGTAATCGAACTTGAAAATTATATTCTGATGAAAATGCAATTATTGTTCGTTGTGATATGTCTGTTGTCCATGCTAAAATAACGAAGTACAAAAGTCAGTTAGTAGTGAAAATAAAACATACTATATAACGAATAATCTTGCATTCCATCGACATCATACCAATTTGGACACTCAATAGTGAATAAAGTAGTTATAGTACCACTAAGAGGATTGATTGAGCACGAACCATTTGCAGGTGGTTGATTAATAATAAAATTCAATGCACTTGTACTTATTGCGGATAGAAATGTATAAACAACTTCAAAACGCCAAAGACTTATTTGAAAATTATTAAGAAATAATTGATCTGTTGCTGTGAAATTACTTGTATTTGTACCTAAAATAATCAATAAATATATCTAATAATTAACAAAACAAGATTTTTACCAAAAAACCAAATATTTTCATATAGAATCGTATTATTAAATAAAGTCCATTGAGTAGAATTTGAAGATGTTGAATTGTCTGATCCTTGATAAATATTCCATTTAATACTTTGAAGATTTGTACAAGTCCCAATACAAATAGTAAATAAAGCAACTTGTGTTGTTGGATTAAGAAGTTGAAATTCAAGATTTGGAACACACATTGTTGATATTACACAACTAAAATAAATATTTTGTCATTAGGATAATTCAATTAAAAATTCACAAATAATTTACCCAACAGCAATCAGTTGTGGATAAGTCACTTCAATTGTAACAAGTACATAACCTGTTGCTTGAATAGAAGAATTCTTTCGATTTTCCATATAAACCATAAATTGATAGATTTGATTTGATTGAAGTGAACCACCGAGAATTGTTAGAGATGAATTAGGTGATAAAGTTGAATTTCCGAATATCAATTTTGTTCCATTTCCTTTTTAAAAAATAATAAAAATGATTGAATTAGATATTCATTAATAATTTTACCGGATCGATTTGACAAACATGATGGATTGTAAGGATCAACTGTTGAATTATCAATTGATAATAATATTCCTTGTACATTTGGGAAATTATATAAACCATAAATTCGACAATAATACGTATATGTCCATTTCTATATGATTAAAAATAAAAATAAAATTACTTAAATATATTCCCCCTATGGATATAACTTACAGTTGCATCAAATGTATCTTCGTCAGGATCAACTGAAAATGTTCCAGGATCAAGTAAAAGATCCTGTTGATCACCTCGTGTTACCATAGATGTTCCTAATTGAACGAGATTTGCTGTTATACCTGTTGCAGTTATTCTTACATAAACTGAAGATGATGATTTTAAATTCGGTGAATCAATCACTGTCACAGTTAATGTTAGTTGATAAACACCATAATCAAGAGTTCTTGCTGGAATATAAAGTTCACTATATGTTGTCATAACTTTTTCATTTAATACAATTTCAAACGAACAACTAGTTGAAGTACAATTCTTTACTGTCCATTTTTTTGTTGTCGAAAGTGAACCATCACAATTAAATTCAATCATTGAAATAGTATAGAAATCTTGACTACGTCGATATGAAATTGGAGATGATAGAGATGATTGTCCAGGAATTAATGTAATCGTCGGTGAATAACAAGCTAATTTAGACAAGAAAAATCGATAAACTTTATTTTTTTATATTATTCATATTATTACTTTCATTGATATTTAATCTTTGAGAAGTTGTTGCGGATGTCGTGCTACTTGAGGTACTGCTAGTGGTAGTGGTAGTACTACTTGTGGTACTGCTACTGCTACTGCTCGTAGTGGTACTGGTGGTGGTGGTGGTAGTAGTGCTACTTGAGGTACTGCTGGTGGTTGTGGTAGTGCTACTTGAAGTACTACTGCTGGTGGTCGTGGTCGTGCTACTTGTAATACTGTCACTGCTCGTTGCAGTGCTACTTGAAGTACTAGCTGAGGTACTGCTGGCAGTCGTGGTAGTAGTACTGCTGCTTGTAGTACTTTCACTGCTGGTAGTAGTGGTCGTAGTGGTGCTGCTCGTTGTAGTACTACTGGTAGTAGTAGTTGTAGTAGTGCTGGTAGTACTGCTGTCGCTTGTAGTAGTACTACTCGTAGTAGTGCTGGTGGTGGTGGATGGCATTGCTGAAATATAAAAGATTTGTATTTTATTCAATGAAATTAGAGAAAACTTTTACTAAGAACAGTAGTATGAAATCAAACGATTCAACCATCATGTAATTCTCATTTGCGGGATTCTGTTATAGTTTCTTAATTTGTAACTAAAATATGTAAAATCAACAAAACGCACAGCTTTATGCAGATTTATTATTCCGAGAATGTAAAAAAAACTATTTTCGAAAGGTAAACATATCATCAGTCTCAAGGGAAGATGCCGTCTCATGCTGTTTTCTTTTTTTAAAGTCAACACATGAATTATTTCACGGTTCATACTGTTCCATTATATACAAACAAACTTACTGCAGTTGCTGATTTGAAGAGTGAATTGTTGCACTCGACTATTATTTCGATCAGTAACATATATATTTCCATAGCTATCAAAAGCCATACTTTGTGGAAAAGACAATTTAGACGCAGATGAACCACCTCCAGAACACCCCACTATACATCGAAAGCCAGTAGAACTTGAACCAACAATACGATGATTATAACTATCAACAATAAAAAGATAACCATTAGCATCAAGGACAATTCCAGTTGGGTAGTTGAGTATAATATTTGCTGATGATCCATTACCAACGATTGTCACTCCATCTAACTGACCAGCTTGAACAAATTGAATACGATTGTTAGCACAATCTGCAATATATAAGTTTAAATTACTATCAACATAGATTCCTTGAGGAGAATTAAGCATTTTTGATAGTGATCCAGCAGAACCATTACCGGCTGCAATTGTCGGAATAGTTGTACCATTATTAAGTAAAAGTTTAACAACTTGATGAAGATTTTTAAGTGAACAATAAAGATTATTACTTATATCAATAAATAAACCATAACAACTTCCATTAACATTCATAACAGTAGCACGATTTGAGGTATTAAATGTATATTTATCGACTCGACCATATAAATAACCATTATCAATATAAATATCACCAGTCATAGACATAAAAAGACTATATGGATTATTCAAATTACTATAGGTATTACTTGTCGATGCAGTACTCCATTGAGGCCATGTTAAAATAGTGTTATTAACTCGATTAGCTACATACACAGTATTTATTCCATCAATAAAAATACCATAAGGTAATAAACCAACAATAGAACTCGAAGCTAAAGTTACGGCATTTACAGCCCATGATGCACTTGAGCAAAATATTGGCTGACTATAAGACAAACCTAAAACAAATAGATTGATTATATTCAAAGAAGAAAACAATAACAACAGTAACTTACTGCATGAATTAGATGCTATAATGAACTTCTGCACTCGATTATTATCTTGATCAGAGACAAAAAGATTTCCATAACTATCAAAACCAAAAGTTCGCGGTGAATTTAATTGATTGGCTGTAGAACCAGTACTAGTTGTACAACCGAATAAACAACGAAAACCATATGGTCCTGATCCTATAATTCGATTATTATTAGAGTCAATAAGGAACATATAACTATTAGCATCAAAAGTAATAGCATGTGGACAGTTAAGTGTAATGGTTCCTGTTGCACCATTGCCAACTTTAGTTATTCCAATTATTTGCCCTGATGGAAAAAATTGAACTCTATTGTTTTTGCAATCTGTAACATATACATTAAATTGAACATCAACAAAGAGTCCAGAAGGTAAATTAAGCTGATTCGCAGCTGAACCCGAAGAACCTGTACCAGCTACTACAGTAAAAGTAGTCCCATTATCGTTTAACCATTTTTTAACAACTTGATGACTCCAACTTATTGAACAATAAAGAGTATTACTAATATCGATAAAAAACCCTTCGACACCGTTATTAACTGTCATAACATTAACACTACTATTGGCATTTATTCCCCATTTATTGATTTGACCATTATTAGCACCGTTGTCAACGTATACATCACCATAAAATGTCGCATAGACAGCACGTGGACTATTTAAACCACCGGTTATGTTTTTGTTAGGAATGACACTTCCTTCAATAAACACATAAACTACATTGTTGAGTTGATTGGCAACGTAAACAGTGTTATTAATACTGACAAAAACACCATAAATATTTGAACTAGCTATAATGGTATCAGCAAACGTAATAGCATCTGTATACCAAGTTGTAGATGGACAAAAGTTTGGTTGATTAAAAGAAAGAGCTATAAATAAAGAATATATTAGATTAAAATCAACATCTTAAAAGCTATGAGAAATATTTGAGACGGTTATGATGTGGGAAATCATTTCAAACAAGACTTAGCTGATATTATCAAGGCGTTTCACTTTTTTGCAATGCTTACATTGAGTATGACTCATCTCAACTCGATATGATATGGTCTTAAAGTTAAAACTGATCATACTACTGATATAGAAAATCGTACTAGTCCTGAATCTAATGTAAAGGAAAAACTATACATTTATGACAATAAACTGAAATAATAACTTTATTAAATGTAGCTCGATAGTTAAATTATGTTTTACCCTATAAGATACTTACGATAAGTAGTATTTGGTATTGACATAAACTTTTGTACTCGATTATTACTTTGATCCGTAACATATATATTTCCATAACTATCAAAACTAAAAGTCGATGGATTACTTAATTGATTGGATGCTGAACCACTGGTAGACGCACATGCAATTATACATCGAAAGCCATTAGGTCCTGAACCAATAATACGATTATTACCACTGTCTACAATAAAAATATATCCATCACCATCAAGTGCAACATCACTAGGACAATTAAGTGAGATAGTTCCAGTAGCTGTACTTCCTGCTACTGTCATTGCTGTTACTTGTCCAAATAGAAATAATTGCACCCGATCGTTTCCACAATCTGCAACATATAAATTGAGATTTGTATCAACAAAAATTCCACGAGGATTGTTAAGTGTATTCGAAGTTGATCCAGAACATTCTGTACCAGCAGCAACAATCCACATACTTGAATTGCCATTCAATGATTTTATAGCAACTTGATGTTCAGTATACAATGAACAGTAAAGAGTATTATTAACATCGATAAAGAGATCATAGCATGCATCCTGAACCTGCATTACGGAATTACTTATATTTCGGTTTGATGCCCACTTATCGACTCGATTATTTGTATATCCATTATCGACATAAATATCACCAATGATTGTAGCAAAGATACTATATGGAGAAGTAATACCACTGGTAATATTTCTTGTAGGTATACTACTTCCTGATAACCATACTTGAATTTGATTGTTTGCCCGATTGGCTACATAAACCGTATTGTTAGTGTCTATGAATATTCCATATGGACTTGTGCCAACTGTGCTATTAGTTGCAAAAGTAATTCCATTACTATTCCAAGTAGCATAGGCACCAAATTTTGGTTGATTGAATGATATAACTAAAATAATATTAATTTTATTTTTATTTGGTTACGTACAAATTATATAACTATCTGAGGGTATGGTGTTGGTGTGGGTGTCTTTTCTCTATCTTGCATCCACACCCACATCCACCCCACACCCTTCCTCAGTCATCACATTACCGTTTGAAAAAGACACAGGTGTTGAGGTAGTAGTTGCTTGAATGACGCTCGTCATAGTTGTTGCTATAAACAAAGATAGTTTCTTTACAATATAGAAAAAGAAAGATATATATAACATACCAACAGCAGCTGTAGTTGCTGTTGTGGTTGTATCTAAAAAAATGGAATTTTATTTGGATGAATAGAATCGTTTATCATAATATATCCTTATACTTACTACAGACGTTTGATGATAAAAGAATTTTTTGAATTCTATTATTATACTGATCAGTGACGAATATATTTCCGTAACTGTCAAAATTAATACTTTGTGGATAAGATAATTGACTGGATGATGAACCAGATCCGGAACATGCCATTACACATCGAAAACCGTTAGGTCCTGAACCAATAATACGACTATTGCCATTGTCAACAATAAAAACATATCCATCACCATCAAGTATAACTCCAGTTGGACGATAGAGTGTGATGGCTCCTGTTGGTATTGTTACTGCATTCAATTGTCCTGATGCAAATTTTTGAATCCGATTGTTTGCAAAATCAGCCACATACAAGTTCAAGTATATATCGACAAAGATCCCCACGGGACCATTAAGTGTAGTCGATGTTGACCCAGCTGCACCACTTACACCCGCGACATTACTCCAAACATTTAAATTTTGATTCAATGATTTGTAGATAACTTGATGATAAGAATACAATGAGCAGTAAAGCATATTGTTAATATCCACAAAAATACCATAGCATTGTGAACATGTATACATTGCTGGAACACTACCTGTCATATTCCATGCCCATTTGTCAATTCGATAATTTGAGTAGGCATTACCAACATAAAGATCACCATTATCCGTGACGAAGAGAGGATTAGGTGTGTTTAAACCACTTGAAATATTTCCAGTAAGTGTAGTACTTCCATTAAACCATATTAGAATCCTGTCATCCGTATTATCAGCTACATAGACAGTATTGTTTGTATCGACGAAAATACCCAGAGGATGTGTGCCGACCAAGGTGCTTGTGGCGAAAGTTGTAGCGGTCTGGTTCCACGTTGCATTTGCACAAAGTTTTGGTTGATTGTACGAAATACCTGTGAAAAATAATAGAACTATGACTCAAATACGGATAGAAATCGTCATCATAAACTCAGAATCTAACTGCTGAATTTAGTGCGATGTTAAATAATTTTATCGAATTCGTACCTGTTATTTGTCTAACAATCAGCATAAACAACCAAACATTGAGACAGTCAAAAAGTATCATTTTGAATATCTAAAATATAATTCACTTTCATATTAATAGAGTGATTTTGAACAAAATCAAAATATCTTCACAACAGTCGGTAGGTTGGGTGTGTGTGGGTATGGGTGTGAGTGTTGATGTGGGTGAGGATATAGGTGGAGGTGTATATGTGGGTGTAAAATTAATCTTACTCTAACACCCACACCCTCAAGATTTTTCATCCTACCTCAGAACGATCGTTTATGGAATTGTTTATCATCGTATTCTCATCAACTTCTTGGATCCTTTCGTTCGCTGAAGAATATAAAAAATAATATCTGTGCTGCCTAGTCTGACTAATGGTCCCAGTTCCTTTTATTCTGATGCAGCTTCGATGATATATCAAGAAAATATAGTTTTTTTTAGGAGCTATACTATTCGTATAACGTTGCTTGATCGATCATAAGCATTAGACAAGTACTATAATTCATAAAGCAATTATTTTTTATATATCATAGACGCTGAATGGGAAAAAAAATAGAACTGGATGCTATACTCAGACTGAATACTCCATTTATTTTCATTGATACTTGCTGTTGAATATATCCTCGATAATAATCTTTAAAAAAATGTAAATACTTATCCATCGATTTCATATAATAAATAATCTAAAGAAAAAACTGAAACTTGCTTTACAGTAGAATTACTTGCTATTCGTTTGTTTGTTTGTGCTGTAACTACTTACGACGATGTCTTTATCTAGTTGATATATATATTCTCTCAAATAGAAATAAAATTATTTTTTTTATGAGAGCCTACTCAAAGACAAACAAGAAATGGAAAAGGTATGACGTATTTATTACTTCAGTTTTTACATTTCCTATAAAATATTATTTTCATAAGTATTATGAGTATGAGATAAAAATTGGATGTATATCTTATGTAATTAGTGAAGTAAAAAAAAACTTTAGTAAATAATTTCAAAAGAAGTACTGTAAAATACTCTAACATCGAGTTAAATATTAGAAAAATCATTTTGAAATAATTTAAATCATGGCAAAAAGTGATTATATTCAAATTAGCTATACCACGTTTTTATTTTTAATATTAAAAGTACAAAAGAATTCATTTTAAATAGATATCTATATCAATGTTCAAATAAAGATTATATTCAATATCGGATTGAGTAAAAATTTGGATTAGTCTTGCGATCGACATCATATTCTAATTCTTGTTGGTAAATTACATTGAGACCATAACAGTTTCATCTCGTGTATAAAACTATCTATAATTTTACTGATTCAAACTTAAGTTATCAGGAGACGCTTCTATAATTTGGAAATTTGTCGAGTCATCAAAGTAGATCACTTAGAATATGAATGTGATATCGATTAGTAAGAAATTGAAGTTTTGATGATATATATTTCCTTAGTCCCCAATATTGGATGCATTCATCCTCGAATCAGAGATTAAAATTTATTTTTTTGCGAAGAATCATTTTTCTACTATGCATGACTAAACTAAAATTCAATTTTTATGAAAAATTTGTAATCATTTTAAAGTGCTTTACTACTTCAAGAAAATAACTACATTTTTACAGAATAAAAAAAGAGCACATAGAAAAATGATAATTAAAAATAATTCCGCAGTTATATTTGATATTTAATTATTTATTTTTTAGTACTTTTTTCTTTTATAACATTATTTCTTTCTTTTATTCTACATTACAAACTTCGAACGATGAATAAATGTTAGTCAGTAGTATCATTAAAATAATGATATATTGAAAGATTAGATTAATACTAAGAAAACCCAGGATCGTGCGAATGAACCATTAAATACAAGTTCTCTATCACATAACTGAATTTATACAGACATCGCAATAAAGAAAAGACAAATATATGATTCATTTGTTCTAAGAAAAAATGAATCAAACTAATAGTTATTACTCAAAATGTCGAAAGTATTTCTATATTTTAAAATATATTCTACCATAATAAAGATACTTTACAAGTAATATGCAAATAATAGAGAATTCATCTATAGGAGAATAGGGTGAGTGTGGATATCATATTCATTCAACAGTCACACCCTCAAGACATCGAAATTATTTCTTATCCACATTTAATATTTCAACTACTTTCTTCACCGTTGTCGAAGTTTGATTATTTACTTTAGTGAGATAATTCATGTCTATATTATCCTTCACCCTTTTATTCCAAAAGATTCACGAATGTATATATATATATAATGAACTGGAAAAAAACCTTATAGACCAAAAAAAGTGAAATCTAAACTAAATCAAAACGAACACATGAATGCAACGAAGGAAAGAAAATCTATGAGCCATCCCCATACGATAGTAGTACATCGAGAAGAGAAAAAGAAGAGACAGTTTAATCATACAAAACAAGATCCTTGTAATTTTACAATTTTCTGTGTCCTTCCTTCAGCATGCTCGCCATCATTTTACTCGCCACCTTTGGAGTGTGAACACTTTCCAAGAATGGTTTTGAAGTCATCAGCATCTGGTGTTGCTTTCAGGCAAGTTAGAGCTGTAGGTTGATCACCAGCTCCTGTGCATGTGTATGATACTTGGCATTCGTCATTGGCTAAATGTTCGATTCCTTGCACTTTCCATGTTGCTTTATTATTCGAGGGTGACGATGTTTGTAACTGCTTGGTAAAACATGATTCAAAAGAGTCCTTTTGTGCTGTCAATAATGTCAAATCTACATTGGAAATATTGAAGCAGCCATTGATTGTGTCTGAATCCGAAGATGAGCATGTATGAGAGGTGACTGCTGGTTTTAAACCACCAATTATTATTCGTTTGTTATTACCGTCCGATCCGCCACTAACACCAGCATTTTTACCTGCACCAGCTTTTGCACCAGAAGAATGAGAGCACTTTCCAAGAATAGTTTTAAATTCATCAGCATCTGGTGTTGCTTTCAAACAAGTTAAAGCTGAAGGCTGATCACCAGCTCCTGTGCATGTGTATGATACTTGACAGGTATGATTGTCTAAATGCTGGATTCCTTGCACCTTCCATGTTGCTTTATTATTCGAAGGTGATGATGACTGCAACTGTTTGGTAAAACACGATTCCAAAGACTCCTTTTGTTCGTTTAGTGATGCTAAATCTGCATGGGAAATATTGAAGCAGCCATTGATTGTGTCTGAATCTGTAGACGAGCATGTGTGAGAGGTGACTGCTGGTTTTAAACCACCAATTATTATTCGCTTATTGTCACCTGCACCAGCTTTTGCACCAGAAGAATGAGAGCACTTTCCAAGGATGGTTTTGAACTCGTCAGCATCTGGTGTTGCTTTCAAACAAGTTAAAGCTGAAGGTTGATCACCAGCTCCTGTACATGTGTACGATACTTGACAGTCATCATTGGCTAAATGTTCAATTCCTTGTACCTTCCACGTTGCTTTATTATTTGAAGGTGACGATGATTGTAACTGCTTGGTAAAACATGATTCGAAAGACGCCTGTTGTTCTTTTAGTGATGCTAAATCTGCATGGGAAATATTGAAGCAGCCATTGATTGTGTCTGAATCTGTAGATGAACATGTATGAGAAGTAACTACGGGTATCAAACCACCAATTATTATTCGCTTATTGTCACCTGCAGCTTGATGATCAGCGTCCGATCCACCATTAACACCAGCATTTTTACCTGCACCAGCTTTTGCATCAGAAGAATGCGAGCACTTTCCAAGAATAGTTTTGAATTCATCAGCATTTGGTGTTGCTTTCAAACAGGTTAGAGCTGTAGATTGATCACCAACTCCTGCACATGTGTATGATACTTGACATTCGTCATTGCCTAAATGTTCAATTCCTTGCACCTTCCATGTTGCTTTATTATTCGAAGGTGACGATGCTTGTAACTGGTTGGCAAAACACGATTCAAAAGAATCCTTGTGTGCTGTCAATAATGTCAAATCCGCATTAGAAATAACAAGTGAGCCATTGATTGTTTCTACATCTGTAGACACGCAATTGTGCGAAACAACCGAAGCTGTTTTGATCAATGCTGAAAAGAAAATAGTCATGTTGTATTATGTGCATGTCTTACAGTAGAATTAGAGTAGTAAATAATTTTCAAAAAGAAATTGATAGTTATAGTGGGGGAAGATGTAATGGTTGTTAATAACGTCATTTTCGAAACAACTATGTATTTCGCATGTGTTTATAGGTTCAACATTTCAGGGAAGGTAGTGGTTTATAGTTCAAATACTTTTTCGCTACTTCTAAAACGATAGATCATGTCGAGTTCAATCTTAATCCCGAATATCCTAGTTGTTTTCATGAAAGATCAGACGGTGATTACTTCCCATAAAAAACTGACTATACTCCACTAATGATGCACCGTCTTGATAGTGTGCCTAATAAGTCGGTGATTTACGGCCCGTCTAGAGTCGGTTAGGATCATTGTAACTATGAATATCAGATTTACTGTTTTTGTTAAATTCAAGAACAGACATATTTTATCACAGAAAAAATAGTTAAACATCGTAGTGATAGCTTATATCATCAGCGAAATATGACTGATGACAAATTTAGGGTTTTGAAAATGAGAAACATTCACAATTAGTTATAGTATTCGGTGATGATAAATTAACTCATTATTAAAACATGAGATAATGAAAAAATATACAGTGAAGATGTACACTTACTTGCAGGAGCAGCATGAACAATAACGGTAGTGCTTATAGCAATAATCACCACAAATGCAAAGCAATATGAAGGCATTTTTTTGTTGAATAACAGAAAAATCAAATAGAAAATAAGTAATTGTTCTGATTTTTCTACGTCCTTATATAGTTATATGAAATTTGACAGAGCCTATTATTATCGTTAAATTTGTCCTGAAATGAATAGTGTTTATAAAACAACAGATGCATCCATTGATCAAATGTACTATTAATATGATTAAATAAATCTAGTTGCTATTATTACACATATCAGTAAAAGTACAAACGATTAACCTCCTTTTTATAAAGTAATGACAGCGCACTCAGACAAACAGATGGTAACAGCTTGTACAATATTTATCACATGTTTCATCAATATTTATACACAAATCTATTTGCTATTTTTTGCTCTCATCACACTATCAGTAAAAGTACATACAATTAACCTCCTTTTTATAAAGTATTTACAAACCAGTCAGACAAAGAGGTGGTAACAGTTTGCATAATATTTGTACACAAATCTATTTGCTAGTTTCTGCTATTATTAGACCATCAGTAAAAGTACATACTATTAACCTTTCTTTTTATAAAATAATTACAACGCACTCGGATAAAAAGATGGTGACAGTTTGCATAATATTTATTACTTGTCCTCAAATGTTTCACCAATACTGGTAAACAAATCTATTTGCTATCTTTTGCTCTCAATACACTATCAGTAAAAGTACATAGGATGCACCTTCTTTTTATAGAGTAACTACAAACTGGTAAGACAAAAAGATGGTAGCAGCTTGTATAATATCTATCACATGTTGTCAAATATTATGTGATAACATTTGCAGTTATTTCAAATGAGAATTCAACAATAACAAGCACAGCTATGAAAAAATAAATATCTGAAAGATAAGTTTATTTCTTTTCTAAAGAATGTTCATTTTCATGTAATACGTATTAAAATTATATAGATCAGTAAAGAAATGAAATCGTTTTTCCATCGAAGTTCGATGATGAGACTGAATTATACTAGATAATAAAAATAGGTCCTTTTTTATTTTGTTAAACCACATTCTGTTTGTCACCCCCATTCTAAGGATGGATTTTGATTGATATAAAATATTTTAGAATTTATTTGTTACAAACTCTTGTTTTTTATTGAAAACTATTTATATTACGAGGGTTTTCTATTTCATCACTTTAGATTGAACATGATTTTTCATAATATATTCAAGTATAGATTTATTTATTCATCTTTAGTGAACATTTATTTTTATATTATATGAATCTTACAAAATAAACTGTTATTTGCGTCGAATAAAGCGTATAAAAAATTTTCTCGTTACTATCATTCAAAAAAAACATACATACATAAAACTAAAATGAATCTATGTTATTCAGTAAAACGTTAAATACATCATTCATATCAGCATACCAAAGTTCATCTATTTGTGCACTGGTATGTTCGCCTAATGCATAAAGAGTCATCTGTGTTAAGGGTGATTGAAATTGATCTTTGATGTCTTGTTTAATTTTTTCAATATCAAAGTTCTTATGAAGATTGTTATGTTTAGTCATCCAATGGCGTGCATCAGCCAGTCGTTCTATTTCTTTTCCATCAGGTTCATCATATTTTTTCAGAAAGAATTCATGACTATGTTCTGTTTTACATTCGAGATTTCCAGCAAAATAACATTCGAGTAGATTAGTTAATTGTTGAGGCGTATGAAAAGAATGAAAATATGTTTGCCGATCATCGTCTTTATTATGTTTTTCAGGCATTTCATAAACTAAAATATGTTTTTGATTATTAAAATAGAGTGCTTCGAATGGAATCGATGAATCCGAATCACAAATAATAACACGAGCATGTTCAATATATTTTAATGTATTTGTTTGTGTATCCGGTAAAACATTTTTCGAAGTAAGAAAATGGCACACATGATCTTGTTCTAATTTACTTAGAGATACTAATGGATTATCGTCATTCTTTGTTTGATATGTACTAGGATGTAGTTTGATAATATGTGGAAATGAGAAAGCAACAATTTGTTCAACAATTTTTTGATTTGACAAAAGACTAAATGGAGCTTCTTCAGATGAAAAACTTGGACAAATGACAACTTCAATATTTTTATCTATTTCAGTAGATGATAAATGTTTCGTACGCATATAATTAGTAAAAGTAATTGGTAGTCGATGTGAATAAGCATGAGCACAACTTTGACATCCATACATACAATGACCTGTAGAATAAACATCAATAATTGAAGGTACATTTTTTTGTATACTACAAAAGAAACGAAGTTGTAATTGTCCAAGTGAATAGTTTATGGAAGCAGTGAGAAGAACGACTACTTGATGTTGTTGTTCTTCCTGTATGATAAGTTCGGCAAGAATAGAATCAATACTAAATTCATGTACTTGAATATGATTTGATTTAGAAAAATAGTCTCGAACGAGTTGTTGAGCTGGATTCCATTTATAAACAAAGAGATGAACGTCGGCAAATGAAGCAAAAGAAAGAATCATTTCTATATGAGCATAACCCGTGTGATAAGGTACAAAAAAGGTTAAATTATTCGACATGTCAATGTTCTATGAGTGGTATACAGAGTAAATAATAAAGACGAGTTTATGAAAGAAGTTTCATTGAAAATCGAGGTATTGTAATTAACATATCGTTAATTTGATGATAAATTATGGCCTTCTTATAAACATGTGCCATATCGTATAATAGATACTCGATGATTCATCCGATTTTTTATCTTCTCATACTGTTGAACACAAACAAATAGGAAGTAATGAAACTAGAGCGACAACGAAAATATAATGAAAAATATTTACGAACTTTAGAAAGCAAAGAAATAATAAAATCATGACACTAAGACAAAAATAAAAATCTAGAAAATAATTAACAAAAAAAAATAGAATGACTATACATAGATGGCGCAAGGAGTTATTACATCTAGTCTTCTAAAGAAAAATTTCAAGATAATATTATGAGTAGTACTATTCATAATTTAATTGATTGTTTGAAAATATCACAAATAAATTAAATATAATTTTTTTTATTTCAGAACACTTGTTTAGCGTATCGAACTAATTTTTAAATATATAAATAGAACTTATGAAAAAAAATCATTGTAAAAGATCGTTGATACATTTGATTATTACTATTATTAAATAAAAATCCAAATAGAAGACCGACCTCCACACTCACACTCTTCAGAACAAAAAGAAAATGTTCATCTATTGAAATAACTGTTCTTATGTTAAAGTTTAGATCATTTATCATAGTCCGCCTGGTCTATCACCCTATTGAAATTGTCGCATCATTGCTTGTAAACCCGATGCACCACCCATTTGCTGTAACATTCTTGGATCAATTAAATTAGTCATTGTATTCTTTAGACCTTTCATATTAACCATTTTCTTAACCATCACTGCAAATTTTGAATATTGTGTTATTAAATCTTGTACATCACGTATTGATACACCAGCACCGCGAACTACTCGAGCATAACGGCCAGATTGAGTTTTAAATAGTTTTGCTACATCAGAATGATCAAGTTCATTATCATTCATACTATCCATAATACACATCATCTTTTTCAAACGCGCTTGTGATTCTTGTTCGCCATGTTTTGATATAGAGTCTGTACTAAAACCAGGAATCATACTCATTATTTGTCCAAATGAACCCATTTTCATAAGATTTTGAAATTGTTCATACATATCACGTAATGTAAATTGCCCATGTTTTAATTTTTCAATTAATTCTTTATTATCTTTCAATTCAAGTTCATCGATTTTTTTAATCAAACCTGGTACATCACCTCCGCCCAATAATTTACTAATGAAAGGTTCTATTTTAAATGGTTCAAAATCATCTATATGTTCACCTGTACCAATAAATGTTATTGGACTTTTTGTTGCAGCGACAGCACTTAAAGCTCCACCACCTTTCGCATGACTATCAAGTTTCGTAATAATAACTGAGCCAATATTAACTTTTGATTTGAATGCTTTTGCTTGCAATTGACAAGCTTGACCAATACTTGCATCCATAACAAAAATAACATTATCCGGTTGTATTCCATTAGAAATTTGAAGCATTTCTTCGAATAATGATTCTTCTTGTGCATGTCGACCACTTGTATCAACAATAATTAATTCAAAATTATCTTTACGAAATGTTTCAACACCTTCCATGGCAATGACTAAAGGATCACTTTCTGTATAACTTCCATAAAATGGAATACGTGCTTTAGTTGCGTTTTGTTTTAATTGATCAAAAGCACCAGCACGAAATGTATCTGCACATACTAATGCTGTTTTCCAACCACGTTTCATATAATGATATGCATATTTTGTACATGTTGTAGTCTTTCCACTACCTTGTAAACCAACAAACATAATAATATTAGGTTTATTTTTAACTGGTTGCCATGGTTTTACTTCAGGATCAATGAGTCGAATAAGTTCTTTAACAACAGCAGATTTAACTAAACGATATTTATTTAAACCAACGGCTGTTTCTTCGAAATTGATTGATTGTCTAACATTTTCACGTAATTGTTTAACTAACTGAACATTAACATCAGCTTCCAATAAAGCTCGACAAATTTCTGTCAATGTTTCATTTAAAACTTGTTCGTTGATAATAGATGCATTACTTAATTTTCCTAAAGCTAACCGAAGACTTCGACTAAGATCTGCAAGAACCATTTGTATTTTGCTTTCAATAACTTGTAATAAGTAATTTTCTTATTCAATTATGAAGTATAACATCTACATTGTTTTTACACATATCACTTTTATAAAAAGGAAAAAACCAACTATTTTGTTGGAACGGATGATGTAAGATATTGCATCATATTCTTAATTCTTTTTCTTTTCAACGAAAGAAAGTGTTGTGTTGGCAGAATGTCATCATCATCGCAACATGTATTTGATTGGTGGAGATCATTTACCTTTTGATAAATAATAACAAGCAACTTTTGTTGATAGTGCATGGAGCGCCATCTGTATTTGGTTGGTATACATATATCATTTGAAAAGAATAAAAGCAAAAAAAACTTATTCAAGTTTTAGATCGTTTACATTGTGAGCATTTTATACATGAGATTGAACTTTCCAACTCATTGATTCATCAATTTGCTTGTTATAGTTTCATTAATATAACACAACAGTCATATTTTCAAAGAATGTATTTCCAGAGAGAACTTCTCATTACGAACAATGTTTTTACGGGTTTAAAAAATTGTTTTCTTTTTCAGAGAAAAAAAATCAATTTTATAAATATTAACGCTGTGAAATTCAGTTATATTTTTTATTCTGACATGCTTGTATCTATATAGAATCGATATTAATATTAAAAAGGAAGTGATTCATATTGAGTACAGCATGACTACGATGAATAATGACTAATATATTTTCACTTGGAAAGAATAAAAGAAAAAGTAGATGTCATGCTCCACACATGATTGAGACAAATTGCTTATAACAACCTGTGAAGAGATTAAAAAAACAAAAAGTTCTAATGTGGAATCGATTCATTCACGTAAATAATTTATCATCAATAAAAATATTTAAACGATTGCAGTCATCAACACGATATTATTCTATAAATGATGATATTTATGGTCTTACAGATGATCAAAAACAGTTACGAACAACTGTATTTACATTTGTACAAAAAGAATTAGCACCATACGCAAATGATATCGATCGAACGAATACATTCTCAAAACTTCGTGAATTTTGGAAAAAACTTGGTGAATTTGGTCTTTTAGGTATTACAGCACCTGTTGAATATGGTGGTTTAGGTTTACATTATACTGAACATTGTATTGCTATGGAAGAAATATCATGTGCAAGTGGATCAATTGCATTAAGTTATGGTGCACATTCAAACCTTTGTGTTAATCAAATTGTTCGTAATGGAAATCATACACAAAAACAAACTTATTTACCGAAACTGATTAGTGGTGAACATGTTGGCGCGTTAGCTATGTCTGAACCAAATTCAGGTTCTGATGTTTTGTCAATGAGATTAAGAGCAGAAAAAAAAGATGATTATTATATTCTTAATGGAAATAAATTTTGGATTACAAATGGACCAGATGCTGATGTACTTGTTGTTTATGCTAAAACAAATCCATCGAGTGAAAAACCTCAACGTGGTATATCAGCATTTCTTATTGAGAAAGGTATGGATGGTTTTTCAACTGGACAAAAACTTGATAAAATGGGTATGCGTGGTTCGAATACATGCGAACTTTTATTTGAAGATTGTAAAGTTCCTGCAAAAAATATACTTGGTAAAGAAAATCATGGTGTTTATATATTAATGGATGGCTTAGATTTTGAACGTCTTGTATGTGCAGCTGGTCCTGTTGGCTTGATGCAAGCTTGTTGTGATACAGCTTTTGAATATGCACATGTACGTAAACAATTTGGTCAACCAATTGGTACTTATCAATTAATTCAAGCTAAAATAGCTGATATGTATACAACATTAAATGCTTGTCGTTCTTATTTATATACAATAGTAAGAGCTGCTGATAAAAATATTGTTAGTAGTAAAGATTGTGCTGGTGTTATGTTATATTGTGCTGAAAAAGCTACTCAATTATGTTTTGATGGCATGCAAATTCTTGGTGGCAATGGTTATATTAATGATTATCCAACAAGTCGTCTTCTTCGTGATGCGAAACTATGTGAAATAGGTGCTGGTACAAGTGAAATTCGACGATTACTTATTGGCCGTTCGATTAATGGAGAGTATGGTATTAAATTGTAGATCTAAGATTCAAATCATTTTCTAGTGTTTTCCATCAATAACTTTTATTAAATAAATAAAAAGATAATGCAGGAGATGTTTAGATTGAGGCAGAGAAAAACATATATCATCATCCGTTCAATAAGTACACATTCTGTGCATATGATAAATGTCGTGAAAGAACAAAATGACTTTAAGTTAAAATATGTTCGTGCATTATCTTGAGGATGTGGGTGTAAGTGTGAGAGCATTAGTATTTAAACAACCATACCCACATTCTCTTTTGCAGTATGAACATGAGTTTTTCCAAATTCTTGTCTGTTTGAGTATGGTTATGTACTCTTTCTTCTCCTTTCTCTAGTAACAGTTATTACCTTTCTGATAAACAAATATTAACTCAGTGTAATTATTCTCTTCTTGGTTTTCTCTCTTTTTCTCATTATAGTTTTTGTTTCACGTTATATAGACGAAATAAAACAACAGAAAAAATCTCAAAAAAGCACGAGTCTAATCAAAAGACCGAAATTATTTCTTCTCCGATATTATATAAAACATATTTCTCTTTCTCTATTGATTAATATACGAATAGAAGTATAAGATAAATACCATTTATTACTTTTTCTTTATAATACTATACTCGATACTCTGATCATTATGACTACATCAGATTTAACTATTGATGATTTATCGAAAAATGGTAATTCCGCAAAGATTATTTATTCTAAACCGCATGATTGTACAGTTCAACCTAAAGAATCAATAATTTATTCAAATACTCATACTCAACTTCATCAACCTCAATCGACGTACAATATTGATTCTATGTCACCTTCTATCTATCTCAATCAAAATATATTTCAATACACAGAAAAAATTAGTAATTACACAATGTGGTCTATTGTAAATATTTTCTGTTGTAGTTTATGTCTTGGTTGTATTGCTTTGCATTATTCAAACAAGACAAAAGATTTAAAAAGAAGTGGTTTTGTGCAAGATGCATTAAAAACTTCAAAAAAAGCTCGTAATATCAATATAATTGCTACAGTCACGGGTATATTCGTTTTAGTTTTATTGTTTATCGATATTCTCATTAAAATGAATTCTTTAAATGACAGCTAAAACATTTTATTGATTATTTTGACTATTTCAAATTATCATTTTTTATTCTGGTTTTAATAAAGAAAAAATATCATTAACAAAATATGATTTATTCTTAATTATGCATTTTCATTGATATAATTTTATAATTAAACAACATATAAATCATTTGAATTACATTTAAAGAAAATCAGCTTTCATCTCTACGAAGGGTGGGCGTTTGTGTGTGAGAGCATTGATATTTAAACACCCACACCCACACCCACACCCACCCCACACCCACACCCACACCCACACCCACCCCACACCCACACCCACACCCACACCCACCCCACACCCACACCCACACCCACACCCACACCCACACCCTCAGTTGTTGAACTTGGTTGACCTATTCAATAAAAATAATCTATCTTAGCAAATTTTATTACGAAACGAACTTTGTTCCATCTTTTTTGTCATAGGATTAACAGTTGTTTCATCTAAAATACAAATTCGAATCAATCTATTAATAATAAAACGGATTATTGGATTGAATTCGTGATAAAATCCACATTACATTTACAACAAGAATCTTTCGAAAAACGAAATTTTTGAATCCGATGATTTTTTCGATCACTGATAAATAGGTTTCCATCAGTATCAAAACTAAGAGTTCATGGATATTTTCATTGATTGGATTCTGAACCTCGATCGTTACATCCAATTAAACATCGAAAACCATTTGGTCCAGATCCAACAATACGATGATTACTACCATCCACAATGAATAGATATTTATCAGTATTAGCTAAAATTCCATTAGGACTTGAAAGTGGAATTGAGATATCTGATGAACTAACTCCCGCTATGGTTTTTGCATTTATTTGTTCAGATTGAAACAATTGAATTCGATCATTTGCGCAATCTGCAACATATAAATCAAAGTTCAGCTCAACAAAGATCCCCATGGGGCCATTACGTTCATTTAGTGCAGAGCCATTTGAATCTGTACCAACTACAATTGTTATTATTATGTCATTATGAATCAACCATTGTCGCATTACTTTATGTTGCTCATATATTGAACAGTACAGAATATCATTCATATCCACAAAAATAGCAAAACATGATGCATTAACATTCATAACAGTAACAAGCGTATCCGTACTTAATATCCATTTATCAACTCGACGATTCGGTTCACCGCCATTATTGATATAAATATCTCCGTTATATGTAACAAAGATAGAATAAGGATCTGATAAAGTACCAGAAATAGTTTTCGTTGGATCAACACTATCCTTAGTCCATATTAGAATTTCATTTTTTACTCGATTAGCAGCATAGATTGTGTTGTTTGCAGGACTGTCCCGAGGTCCAAAACATTGGGAGAGAGGAGGTCGCCGATGAATTTTGCGAGATTTTCTGAAAAGTTTCAAAAATATTCCAAGCATTTTTGTAAATTTTTCAGAAATTTTGGAAGATTTTCAAGATGTTCAAAAAATTTTGAAGGATTTTTTAAAGCTTAAAAGAAAACTTTGAAATTTTTTCGAAATTCAAAAAAAAACGTGGCGTTTCTTGCAAATTTTTTCATAAATTTGAAGATTATTTCTAAAATTTTCCGAAAATGTTCATAAACTGGCGAGCCAAAAAAAACAAAATTTTCTAAGATTGGGGAAACGTCGCGGTCCCCCCCCCCCTCCCCATCGGGACACTCCTGGTTGTTTGTATCGACAAAAATAGCGAATGGACTTGTTCCAACTATTGTTTCATTAGCAAATGTAATTCCATTTGGATGCCAACAAGCTGTCGGAGAAAACATCGGTTGATTGTATGAAAGGGCTAAACTATAATAAAGAAATTTTGTTGAAAGTTTTTGCAATCAATTTACATGAAATTAATATGAAAAAGAAGCTCTCTTATCACATTATCACTCTCACCAGGGCTTGACCTGATAAATAATACTTGCCTGATATATGATTGATTATAATAAAAATAATAATAATAATCAAATTTTTAAGCTTCATCTTGTTCATCAGATTGAATCGATCGTCTTATTCAACCGTTACATTTGATGAGAAAAACAAAGGAAATTAATTCATCGTTTCTATTTACCCTTTTTCCTACTTCTATATATTAAGAAGGTGATTTAGAAAAACAAATCATGACAAAGAAATAAAATCTTGATGTATCATTGGACATGTTTTAAATTAAAATAGAGTATCGATTTCACTTATTGACGTCTATATAGATTCTTTTCTATTGTCATATTCTATTCGAAATGTTCATCTGCTCTGATCATGGTTGGATACCCATAGTGTATATGCCTATATAAAGCTGCATAAGACAAACAAGGTTGTTTAATCATTTGCTAGACTCTGATAGAATAGAATCCATTTTCATGCCATCCATTTGCACAGTAAACTTGAAAAAGACGTGCTAATATTCCGCTCAGCTTTGATCGTATATTTTTTAAAAAACAGTCGAAATAAATGTATCACGTCGGAGTAATGATGAACGTTAGCAAAGATAAATACTTTCATCACAGTATGATTGAGTTGAACTGTTCATTCAACAACGGTGAGCATTTAGAGAAAGAGTTATGTGTTTTCTTATTCTCAAAAATATTTAGATAAATTCTATTTTCGTTCTTACAGTTATTCTTTCAAAGTAGTCATTTTTTTCTCTTTCTTTCGTATGTCCAATATTGAATATCATTCATTCTATCGCCAACAAGAAGAAGATAAAAAAAATGGGCTGGCGATTTTTTCATTCATTGTATCAGACGTCCATTCGTTCAATATGTCGTCTGACTATTTTATGAACAAAGATTTTTTTCCGTCGAATTCGTTTTTTTTTTCGTTATATATTAACCAATAATCGTACAGCTACTGTATTTATTGATGGAATAAAACGTGCCGATACAGCAGAATCGATGCGTAGTTTTTAAACTAAAAAATAAGAAATAATTCGGTAATATAGATTTTATTTTATATATTGGTTCTTTAGAAATCAATTTAATCTTTATCGTTTACATAATTTTCCATTTCAAATCGTCTCTTAATCATATGTTACTCAATAGAGACAAAAGTAGAGAGTTTCGTAATAAGTAACACATTTATTGAAAGTTTTTCTTGACGAAATAGTATTTGTACATAAACCTATTCTCATATGAAATGTGAGTTCATCTTCGTTAAAGAATCAGATATTTATGTGTTAAATCTGCTGTGATAGACCAATCTTTATCAGTATTTTCCAGATAGTCGTTTATTCGCTATCCAATGCTATTAATAGCTTAGTTTTTCATTATTTCTGTGTGTTGTATCTTTTCGATTTGAAGTTAGTTTCAAATTTTAAGACTTCTAAAAATTTTTACTAAATCTAGAATCATGAACAGAGATTGTTTTTTGAACAAAGTTTATTCTTTCTTTAAAAACATTTACTTTTTCTAGAAAGTATACTTTGGAGTATTTAGATATTTGAGTCGGTTAGGTAGAAGACGTGGAATCTTAACTCTTAGATAACAATGCATTTTATTCGCATCGCGAAATAGTTCATCTAAATTAACTTAGAAATGAAAACTAAAAACTCATTTAACAATTTTATAAGATATCTTTATTTTTAGATAAAATGATTAATAGAATTGAAACGCTACCTAATGAAATTTTTCTTCATATTTTTTCGTCTTTAACATGGCACGATATGTTAACGTCTTTCTGGTCATTGAATATCCGCTTTAATTCTCTTATATGCTCAACTCTTACGATAAATAATAATTCATGGAGTAATGGTGTTATCACACATGGTTTATCATATAATCAATATTGTTTAAGATTGATTCCGTTGGTTTTAAATTCATCATCTCTTTCTTCTTCCATTCAACATATTCATCTGGATGGAATAAATTCAATTGCTTCTGATTTCTGTTATGAGTGGTTATTCAGTGGAAATATTCTTCATTTTCCTTGTCTGAAATCACTTATTATTAATCGGTGTGAAGCAATCGAACCATTATTTCAAAGCTTAACTTATCTTATTAAATATCAACTGGATGAATTTGCATTAACGTTTGATACAAACACATTCACCCGATTTTATTGTCTACGAAAATATTTATCAGACGTTTCCGAGAAAGGTAATCAATCATTATTTATTTAGTAGATTTTTTAAACTGAGATAACAATATCTATGGAAGAAATCGAGCAGTCATCCTATTCCGGAAAGTTACACATTCCGGAATCGCTTGGCTCACCCAACTTAACATAATTCAATTCCGGAATTCCTTGCATTCGATTCCTGCCTATACCGGAATTCCTGCCCATTCCATGCAATTCCGGAAAAGCCGGAATGTGCACGAATTCCGGAATTCCGCTCCGGAATCGATTCGATTATTCAGGAGGATCATTTCTACATGAAGTATAACTTGTGCAATTCCGGAAAAACCGGAATTCCTGCCTATTCCTCCGGAAAAGCCGGAATGTGCACGAATTCCGGAATTCCGCTATGGATTCGAATAAATCGCTCACCAAGTTCATGTCTAGATCAAGCATATCTTTCGTAATTCCGGAATTGGCCGGAATAGCATTAATCTGATGGAAGGAATTCCGGAATTGGCCGGAATAGCATTAATCTGATGGAAGGAATTCCGGAATTGGCCGGAATAGCATTAATCTGATGGAAGGAATTTTGGAATTGGCAGGAATCGAATTCGATCTGTTCCGGAAAAGGCAGGAATCGTATGCAAGGAGTTCCGGAATTGAATGATGTTAAATTGGCTGGGTGCAGCGATTCCGGAATGTGTAACTTTTGGGAATAGGAAGCATTCTCAAGAAATCATACTCCACTGAATGATCATTTGTTTTCTATATTCAACTTGATCTCTTATATGAGAAAATGAGCATTTACATGTTAAATAATCAGATCTATTTTCCAGCAAATATCACTATGAAAATATGTACGTAATGATTATTTTTATTATTATTGGTACATGAAGATCGTGTTAAATAGCTATTTATCTATAGAAGGCAACAGTATGGTAATAGATCCACTTAGCTTTTCTCATATTTGCATAAGTCCTACCTAATAAGCTAAATGTTAGCTTAAGATTGAACGATCACCGCATAAAATCCTGTGGAATCTGTGCAGGATGTATAATCTGAATAATGGTAAAGCGGTGTATATGGCCTAATATAAACATGACTTGTTAAATTGAGTATATATGCTGATATCTAGTCTTTTGCAAATCAGGATGCAATGTATTATATTAGGAGCTTCTACAACGTTGCACTCGGTTGAAGGTAAGGTGATGATAGATCCAAATTTTTACTCTTAAATACTTCACTCTCTCAATTCGTGTTGTGAGAAACTTCAAATAAGAACTAGTCGTGCTTAGTGGAATAACAGATTATGTTTCTTATTAAAAAGAAACGGAGAAATTTTGATTAGGTATTAATTCAATATAAAAACGCAGTAATTCATTTTAAAGTCAATCGACTACTATAGTTATTAACGTGAGTTGATTCAACAGGAATATAATAAAATTTATCTTATTACTTATTCTCAATGCTCATTTCATGTTTATTAAATATAAAGTGACAAACAATTTTCTTTTGTATATTAGAAAAACAACTACGCATGATCAAACAATTTGTTTGTCAATTATTCTCTGGTGAATGTCACCTAACATCACTACGACTTGACATTAGCAACGAATTTCGCTGGGGTCCTATCCATCAATGTTTATCGTCAAAATTGGATGATTGCAGAAATTTTCTAACACATTCGTGTAATACAACTCTTCAACGGTTACATATTCGACTTAATCATTCATGTTTTCTTGAAAGTCTCATTGAATATGTACCTAATCTAGAGCAATTATCGGTAACAGTTTATGGGTCATTAACATTCAAGAACTTGTGGGAACCGAACATTGAAACACTGAGCCAATCAACGAAAAGTTGGTTCAATAAAGTAAGAGATTGAAAAGAGAATTAATCTTGGATCTTTTTTTGGCCGAACAAAAAAATTAATTGTATTATTTTAGGTACCAAAACTACAATGTTTTAGTCTGGAATATCTTATCAATCGTGAGCGAGAACTTATTTATTTGAAATGGCTTCTCAATAATTTAAATTATGTAAAAAAGCTTCAAGTTAATATTCAAATTGGAATATTAATCGATTCAAAAAGTCAAAATATATGGAAATGTTTAGTTGATGCAAATTTTGTTCGTCAGTATTGTTTACCTGATATAATACCGAACTTAACTGATTTCAACTTTTATATTTGTTCACAATGTCAATTATCAGACACTGATACGTGGAAAATAATTAATTCATTTAATATTCATTCTTTTTTTATTGAACGTCAATGGACGAATGTGAAATGTTTATTTGATTCATTACAGTCATATCAACATCTTTTCTTTCCTTCTAGCAATATGTTTCAATCTTCTGATAAGGAAATGTGAGTTATTAACATGAATGCGTTTAGTATACGGTCAGACTGTATAGATCGAAGTACTCTAAAAATCTCTTGATTTTCTTATGACTTTGGCTATATTATTGCATAAAACTGATCTGTTTTGCTGCGTATTGAACGACCAACGTAGGACTTCAAATTCTCCGTTGTTATCAAGACATAAATTTTATGATTCCAATCTATTAATATAGCAAATTACTAGGAAGTTAATAGATTACGATTGAATGCAATTTATTCTAGCTCCACTGTCCATGGATGTGTCGATTATTTTTTTAAAACTTTCGAGAACTTATTAATTAATTAATATTTATTCTTTTAGTGATCGTTTATATATTTCTAAACAGCTACATTTGTACGATACATCATTTTATTCATATTCATCATTGCATTTATTTTTGGAAAAATTGAGTCAATTATCTCGACATATTTCAGACATTAATGTATATAAAGGTAAGTAAAACTCACATTTCGATGAAATATTCGATAAATAATGAAGTAAAGATATGACAATTATGACTGTATTGACATAACATCATAATCGATTTTTTTCGTAAGAAAGTTTCATCGAAAGAATTGTAGAACAAATATTCTCTATGAATATTTGTCGTTATTCTTTTATATTAGATCCAGCGATATTTCTGTTATAACGTTGGTGCGAAAGTTTCGTATCACACTTATGCAGTGAATTGAATTTCCTAGAAGGATAGTTGGATAAGATTTAAAATAAATTAAACTTTCTCTTTTTTTTAGTACACGAGAATGATATGGATAAATTTGATCTTATGATGTCATTGGAACTTTTATCCAAAATGAGACAAAACATGAAACTCAATAATCCTTTCCGAAATGTTACGAAAATTCAATTTGGAATGTATTTTGATTGCAAAAATAGTTAGTAATAAGTTTTATTTTTATTTGTACTAATATATATAAAACAAAAAAAGTTTATTATTGAAATTTATTGTTGGAAAAAATCACTAGAATAAGTTTTTTTTCTAGTGTTAAACTTTATTTAAAATCGTTCCACTACTAGTGACCAGTACGAAATGAACTTTTGAATATTTTTCTATGATAAATTGAAAATTTCATAATGTGATTACTGAGAAACGTTTATTCATAAAGAATAAGCTCATCATCAATAAAGAAAATATACAACTTGAGGTTGTAAAACAAAAATATAAGACTTCAAATTTAAGTACATATCAACGAGTTTTTCTTGATATGTACTTAATTTTAAATAGGTGTTATGATAAGCAATTTGGTCTGTCAGATCATGTATTATTTTTATATTCGATATAAATTCTGTTTTAGGCGCTTCGGTAGAGAGAACAGATGGAAATGAAGTACGTGGAAAAGTACTTGCTCATCTCATTTCAATGACTATACAACTCAAATATCTTCTAGTTGAAAGATTTGAATGGCTTTTACATGTTATTCAACACGTAAGACATACTCTTTTTTTAATATGAATTAGATGTACATTCTTGACTATAAAAATATCTCAATGAAATACGATGAATTATAGACAACGATAAGCTACTATGTTGTATAGCATTTGAGGACTAGGTGATCTTACGGATAGCAGAACTGAATAACCTGATGCGTTTCGAAGAAGTGAAATAAATAGGACATTGCGTGATGAAAATCGTTGTCTTACGGATTTTTATTTAAAATATTTATTTTGATTTGAGAAAATAAGTCGATAGTAGGTTAGTATAGTTTACTTATTTATGACTTATTTTCTATTTAGGCACCTAATGAATTAAGAACAAACGCGTTAATTACTGTACAATATGCTGAATTTTGTCTTCCTAGTTGTCATAATGGTCATGAAACAATTCATATTGGAAAAAGTCTTGTACCTTTTCTTAGCACATATATGCCTCATTTACAAGCTTTACGTCTTTGGCGACCAGATGATTTTGTTTGGACAACTAGTAAGTTTACTTTATAATAAATGCAAAAACTATTGCAGTACAATTTCCTGATGAACTGTAATAATATAGATTTATATCATATAAACTTGACGTTTGAAATGTAGTATTAAATGCTTTGAGAGATTTAGTCTTTATTGGAAGAATTGAACAACTATCTGTGATATAATTCTAAGTATAATATATATATTGAAAGATTTCCTTCCATTTGCTTATGGTATTATCATTAATTTTGATATCGATATTAAGGTTAAAAGATCAAGGTAAATAAATATATATTTTCATATAAAAGCACCTATGCTTTTTGGATGTACTTCTATCTCACTCTTGTACGAGTGTTAAGAACAACCATAGAAGATTAAGAAAAATTGCTGCACTTCAAAACATCAATTGAGTTTACAAGTCTTCTGATGACGAACAGTCATTAGAAGAAAAGAATAAGAAGTAAAAATCTCATTCACTGCGATCATTTTCCTCAACAAAAATTGAGCAAACAATAAAATAGAACTAATCAATATACTCTATGAAAACCCGGAGAGGATTTCTCGGTAGATTGATAAGATTTCTTAAAATTCAAAAACTAAAAATAAGAATAAAAAATCCTTATGATTTTTTAAAGATCTCACATTAGTGTTCTACGTGATCATCCCAAACTCGAACGAACAATCGTGATCATTGTCATGCATGACTGAACCAGATTTTTGTAATCACAATTGTAGCACATATTCAACATTTCCTTCTAATCAAAGTCATATCGCTTATATGTTCTTTTCAGCAAAAGAAATTGAAACAATGATCGACCTGATGTGAAATACTATTGTAGAAAAAAATGAAGAGAACACTACACATCAGATTTATTGATCATTTTCAATATGAATTTTCATTGTACGATTATAGTTCTAACTTAATACGATCTGGAAAATTTCGTGAACGTGATCATAACCATAAAATCCAATCATTCAACTCATTAATTCAAATGAAAAATGTTAAAATTTCTACTAGGATTTCTAGAGTTTTTCACATGAGCTTTTGAGAACTTGTGAGATATTCTGTCGATCTGTTAGCGCTATTTTAGATGGTAATAAAGAAAATTTATTATAACCACTACGAATAAACATCTTATCTCATATATCTCTCGTAGTAATAATTACAATTTCAATTTGGATTAGTTTGATTTAAAACTCAACTGAATTTCAATTATTACTATGACATACCTGTTCCAAATATTGTGTTTTTTTAATTTCAGCTCGACCAGATTACGTAAAGTACGGTGATGTTTTTTTAATGGTAAAATGGTTAAAGTCTCTACAAACATGTGAATCAATCGGTATATATATATATATAAATACAACAATTTTATATAAAAAATTCAATTAATACTATTATTCTTTTATTTAGCTCAACATGTGCTTGTGTTTGAACAAGATCTATGTCAATTAATGGATAAATTAAAAGATCTTACTTTCCTTGATATTTATGGTGAAATTCATAACAAAAAAGTTGAACCATATCGTTTAATGGCCCAAACTTGTTTTCCACGTAGTCGAGTATATGTAGAAATGTCAAGATTTCGTATATGGTTTTAATTTTCTGTCTTTTTGCTGTATGCAATCGATATCTATTAAGGACAATTGTAATAATAAGCTAATTGTTTTTTTCCTGCTTGTATTTCTGTAATATTGTAAATTGTAAGAAATATACATTCATTAACGAAATATTAATATTGTTCTTCAAAAACTATTTTATTATTTCTGGTACATTCTAATTTTGTTAATGGAGAGATTTATTACTTCTATAAACGTATCTATCGAGATACCTTACTGACTGGAAACAGTGGCGTAGTTAGGATTTTCAGATCAATGGGCAAACGTGGACAAGTTATTTATTGATAGGGCAACATTTTTTAACTTGATAGAAGTTTAAAGCATAACAGAAACACAACAAAAGAAAGTGAAGTTCGGTTATTTTATTAATATTGAAAAGAAATAAAGGAAAGTCTAATATGCAGTATTGTTTCTTTCAATATAGTGTACTATAAGAGAATATGAAACGATAGCAAAAAGAAAAATATGTATACGATTCAACCGTTTATATTTTTGGTATTGTCCCAAAATCCGGAGAAAAAAGTTCGGAAGAAAAAATCCGGAGGAAAAAATCCGGAGAAAAATAAATCCGAAAAGAAAAAATTCGGAGGAAAAAATCCGGAGAGAAATAAATCCGGAAAATTTTTGAAAAAAGATTTAACAGTTTATTTAACAAAGAACCATGTGCAAGAAAGAAGACAAACCATTTGATTTGAAGAGAAGTGATGTGGTTCACTTTTTAGTAGCCACCAATAAAGAAAGTCCCACGAGATACTCATCGCGATCGATCTCATCGCTCTCGAAATATTTGGCAAGTAGGATTGTGAAAGCTCAGGCTCAGTTTTTTTGGAGCTGGAACTGTCACATTCCTATTGGCAAGAGTATTGAATTTAGTTAGATGGTGTAGGTGTGGATAAAGCATAGACACAACACCCATACTCTCAAGGTGCACGTCTGTGTATATTTGCTAATAGGAGTGCAGAGCACAGTAAAGTAGAATGGTACTCGGTAGACGATAATCATGATTGATGTAGACAACCATAATCATTTATGAAAGAATATTATCATTCTCATTGTTAGAACAATATCAGAAATTTCCGGATTTTTTATTCTCCGGATTTTTATTTTCCGGATTTTTGTTCTCCGGATTTTTTATTCTCCGGATTTTTCGTTCTTCGGATTTTTATTTTCCGGATTTTTCGTTTTCCGGATTTTTACTCTTCGGATTTCAAGACATATTCATATTTTTTTTCTTTCGTTTTCTTCTATATGTTCTTCAGAAAAAGAAACAATCGAAAAAGAAATCCATCTATAACTCACATAGCAGAGAAAGATACTTAGTTATCATCACCTACACCCTCTCCTAGTCGAATATCTTGTAAGCAAGATCTTGGCCAAGATCTTAGGTACAGATAATTTGATTATGTTGTACACAAGATCTGTGACTAGATCTTAGGTATAGATTGTTAAGATCTTGGTAATAGATATTCGAAATCTTGAGCTTAAGATCTTGTAATGAATAGTATTTTCGTTTTACCTCTGCAAGATCTTCAGATCTTGTATTAATATATTTAAATTTAAGACCTATATGAACATACAATAACACACGTGAACATCAAATACAATTACAACCCTTAGAAAAAAAAACATAATAAAATTTAAATACCATAACTACTCTTTTTAATTCACAATCATCTGTATGTACACAAATCATTCGAAATCACACAAAATACAAGATAAAAAATAATAAAAATAAATTTCAATCAGCTTCATCATATAATTCAGCATCAGACGATAATGTCAACGATGATGATGACAATGAAACGGCTTGATCAATCATAACAACAGCATCGTTATCTGAGATATCGCCAGCTACTGGATCCAGTGAATTAGAGATGTCCATGAAATCATCATCTTCGTCTTTGTGTTCGTTATTTCGAAGCACCCTAAATACTTCACTTTCCCTGCGTGCCAACCGGTATTGGCGCATACAATCTCTTGTTCGTTGAGTCGTACTTTTCGAACAAAATTTATTGTTCATATCTGAAATTAATAATGTGCAGGAACAAAACCAAACTAAAACGAATAAACAACAGTAACTAATTATTTTAAAATAAGTGGCATACATGTCTAAAAATGCGTAGTTTATTTCAACAATCCGATATATTAGCATAGATTGATAATGTACATGTTAATCGAATTGATCATTTCTTGTAGTATTAACATTGATGCAAGTAAACTTCAATGAATTTCTAAAAAACAAACATAATAACTGGAAAATAATTTCATAAAAATTTCTAATTCAAGTTTCTTGATTCTCACCGTTGTAATAAAAAAATTTCATTTTTACAATTGCAAAATATTTCGTTCGTCGAAAAAATTATGATTAATATATTTAAGAAGAATCAACATATCATCATTAATCGATGCATAATTATTTAATTAAGATTTTTCATGCTTATATGAGATAAAGACTTGGCCCTTACAACATTTGTTATCTTTATGTTCATTCTCTGTTTTTATTGGTTCATATATATATGAAGACTGTAAAAAAGCTTTTTTTATTTTTTTTCTGTTCTGTTATGATTTATGAATATTTTTAATAAAATAATTCAAATATTTGAATTATTTTTTTTCTATTAATGATGTCGCTTTAGTTTATTCAAGATCTTGGTGCAAGATAATTACAGTTTAACTTTTCCAGTCTTCTGACAATTTTGATATCTTGAGTAAAGATCTTGATAAGATCTATGGTATAAGATAATTACAATTTAACATTTCTTCATGTCTTCTGAAAAGCTTGATATCTTGAGGAAAGATCTTAATAAGATCTGTGTTACAGACACATAAGATATGATTAAGATATACTTTCTCAAAAAAAAGAAATTATCTTTTTAAGATCTTGGCAAGATCTTACTTACGAATTTCAAGATTTCCAGATCTTACTTACAAGATGTTCGACTAGGGTCACCCTCACATCCTCAAGACTATTTTTTTCAACTGAATGAATGTCTATGTAAAATCTTCAATTTTTATTTGTAAATCGTTATCAAGCTATCAAAATTTCGAGTTATTATGATATTTTTTTGATGAATCTAGTTTTGAATAGTTCATAAAATGATGTAAATTAATAAAATATATGTTATTACGAATGAACTAACTATTTAGATAATAGATGTTTCCATTCAATTTCACTACACCTGCTAGAATACAATCAATAACTTAAAATAAACAAATAACACATTCTTATGAAATACTTGCTATTGAAAAAAATATATATTACAGTTAGATAGATAGATAGATAGATGGAAGATATTTAATTACTATACACATGTTCATAGAAGAAAGGTATATTAAAAAGTATTTATTTTAAAAATGAGGTATTTCGACGTAGGAAATTGTAACATATTATATTGTAATACCAAAATATTTGCCTTTGTATTTTTTTTCAATATCCTATGAAAGTCTTTAAATAGCGATGAAAATTCTTAGACAACTATGATCGTAATTAAATAGCTATACAGATTTATAAAAATATTATCGAATACGAAATAGCTATTTTTTTAGTAATTTATTATAAATTTTATCAATACTACTCAAAAATGTCTACAGTTACGTATTCATTTAAATAACTAATTGAGTTTTAATACAAGTCTGTATTTTATTCTGTTATTTGATCGTGTATGTAAAATCAACGCCTTCTTTTTTTTTATTGAATACTCATACAGTTTTTTAAACAACTACGATTGTTTTTAACTAATATATTTGGATCATTTAAATACGATTAGAGCAATGTATTTAGTATAGATAATTGTTTCCTTTTTATACAAATAAAAGCAGTAAGAGCTGCTGATAAGAATATTGTTAGTAGTAAAGATTGTCCTGTAAAAGCTACTCAGTTATGTCTTGGTGGTAATGGTTATATTAATGATTATCCAACAAGTCGTCTTCTTCGTGATGCCAAACTATGTGAAATAGGTGCTGGTACAAGTGAAACTCGACGATTACTTATTGGCCGTTCAATTAATGGAGAGTATGGTATTAAATTTTAGATCTAAGATTCAAACCATTTTCTAGTGTTTTCTATCAATAACTTTTATTAAATAAATAAAAAGATAATGCAAGAGATGTCTAGATTGAGGCAGAGAAAAACATATATCATGTGGGTGTGGGTGTAGATATGAGAGCATTAGTATTTAAACATCCATACCCACACGAACACGAACACCCACAATCACACTCTCTTTTGCAGTGTTAACAGGAGCTTTTCCAAATTCTTGTCTGTTTGGGTATGTTTATGTACTCTTTCTTCTCCTTTCTCTAATAACAGTTATTACCTTTCTGATAAACAAATATTAACTCAGTGTGCCTGTTCTCTTGTTGATTTTCTCTCCTTTTCTCATTATAGTTTTTGTTTCACGTCATATAGACGAAATAAAACAACAGAAAATCTCAAAAAAGCACGAGCCTAATCAAAAGACCGAAATTATTTCTTCTCCGATATTATATAAACCATATTTCTCTTTCTCTATTGATTAATATACGAATAGAAGTATAAGATAAACACGATTTATTACTTTTTTTTATAATATCATACTCGATACTTTGATTATTATGACTACATCAGATTTAACTATTAATGATTTACCAAAAGATGGTAAATCAGCAAAGGTTATTTATTCTAAACTACATGATTATACAGTCCAACCGACAGAACCAATGAATTATTCAAATACTCATACTCAACTTCATCAACCTCAATCGGCGTACAATATTGATTCTTCGTCACCTTCTATCTATCTGAATCAAAATATATTTCAATACACAGAAAAAATTAGTAATTACACAATGTGGTCTATTATAAATATTTTCTGTTGTAGTTTATGTCTTGGTTGTATTGCTTTGCATTATTCAAACAAGACAAAAGATTTAAAAAGAAGTGGTCATGTGCAAGATGCATTAAAAACTTCAAAAAAAGCTCGTAATATCAATATAATTGCTACAGTCACGGGTATATTCGTTTTAGTTTTATTGTTTATCGATATTCTCATTAAAATGAATTCTTTAAATGACAGCTAAAACATTTTATTGATTATTTTGACTATTTCAAGTTATCATTTCTTATTTTAGTTTTAAAAAAAAAATATCATTAACAAAATATGATTTATTCTTAATTATGCATTTTCATTGATATAGTTTTATAATTAAACAACATATAAATCATTTGAATTACATTTAAAGAAAATCAACTTTCATCTCTACGAAGGATGGGCGTTTGAGTGTGAGAGCATTAGTATTTAAATACCCATACCCTCAAGATGGTCTGACAACTTTATTTTAAGAATAAATCATTGAAGATACACTATTATGAATATAATTTAGTACAAAATTAGGATACACTTTTAGTAGAACTGTTTTGATAAGTAGTAGTTTTAGAACCCTCGCCATCGAAGCTCGGGTAATGTGGCAATGGAAAATCGTTGTCGTTATTCTGGTCGAGTTTGTTTGCCAACCATGGAATTGCCACGACCTTGGAAAGTGTCCCCATAAAGACCTGGAACAGCCATCTCGTCCATGCCGTCTCGGGATGCGCAATACCTGGAACAAAGAAGGGGATCTTCTGCGTCTCCTCGACAAACGGGCGAAAGGTGCTTTCGTAAGCCTCGAGCGCCTTTGAAGGATGTTCACCGTCATTCAGCTTGCTTAGTTCGCCTGCAAGAACGTAGGCCCCAGTGATGGCCAGCGAAGTGCCCATCCCTGTGAGCGGCGTCGGCGCGTAAGCGGTGTCTCCCAGGCAGACGACGCGAGACTTGGACCATTTGGACATCTTGATCTGTTGGATCGCTTGGAAGTAGAAATCTGGCGCCTGATCCATGGCGTCTAAAAACCTCTGCGCCTGCCATCCTGCATCTGCGAACTCACTTCTCAAGAACTCTGCTTGCGTCTGTCTGTCACTTTTGGATACCTCCATCCACGCTTTCTTCTGAGCGTCATTGCAGGGCATGCGAGTAAACATTGCCCTGATGGTGCCGTATGGATCAGGCCTAAGTGTAATCATCCTTGACCCAAGAGCCTGGTAGATGTTCCACCAGTCATTGTCGCTGGGCAGGCGCGGAATTGTGTAGTAGACAACATACATGCCATGATCGACCACGCTAACACACTCTGGAGGGAAGCACTGCTTTCGCACCTTTGACCATTGACCGTCTGCTGCGACCAAGAGGTCAAATTCCTGCACCTCCCCATTGCTCAATTGGACCTTAACGGTGTCATCGTCATTTGAGACGACTTCCTTAATTGTGGTACCGAACAAGTAGTTGACATTCGGATGGTCTTTCGTAGCCTCGTAGAAGATCTTTGCCAAGTCTGCACGAAGGATCTCGAATTCCGAGGTTAAGCTAAGAGCGACGCCCTCCTTGACGGGAAAGAGTGCAAATGGCCGTCCCTTTGAGTCGATGAACTGTGTGCCCTTTTCTGTCGTGTTGAATCGTCGAATTTGATCCATGAGCCCCATCTTCTTGATGACTGTCCTTGCGGTGCCTTGAATATCAACGTTCTGCCCATGGGGAAGGAGAGCGTGGCTCTTTTCGACGATGGTGATCCGTGAGCCGGTCTTTGCCAGAAACCATGCTAGAGCAGGCCCAGCGATGCCTGCTCCACTAATCAGGGTGCGCATGACAAGCTTCGATGTGATCGTGAATGTGAGTAAAAGATTGGTCTCTTGAGTGATGAAGAGGATGAATGTTCTGAACTAGAGACGAACACTGAAAATAAAAAAGAGAACTATTAATAAAATTATTAAGTTAGCTAGTACTATCACTTCTTATCTTAAGTTGCACGCTTAGTATAAACGACTCTTATATACTTTTTAATATAAAGTTTTAGTTTCTACTTACCTAAGTATACGATAGTTAAAGCTTAGAACTCTATATAAAGATTAAAGTATTAAAGCTATAACTCTAATATACTTAAGTTTAAGTAAAAGGTATAACGCTAATCCTTATCCCTTCTTAATACGAAATATTTACTCTTAGAGCCTTTACGTACTCACAACCGTATCTGTAAGTATTAGCTTATAGACGCCCTAATTCGAAGATTCTAATATTAGTACACAATTTTAATATCCTAGGTAATTACGATCGTGGACATTAAGTATTATAAGTTATTCAATTGTACAAGCACCTAAAATTTAGTAGTTAAAGATCTAATATAATCTTACGACGGTTTTTGTAACCTTATCTACTATAAATCTTATAAGCGTAAGCTATTATCGAATATTTGATTAAGATGTAGTTATAAAAGATTAAAAAGCCTTTGCTATTTTAGTTAGGTGTACTAGAACCGACTACCGACTAAAACTAATTAGAATTAATATAAATTTGGCCTATACTTATTCTACGTCGTACCGAGAACGTAAAATTTCTTAGTATATTTAGATTTTAATATTAGGATTTTCGCCCGGACTTTGCTTAACTATTACGTATTAAGGCTATTTCTATGCAATCCTTTAGATAATACTTACTAATATTTAACTTATACTAGAATTCTGTGCTAAGTCTAGTATTTAGAATACGATAAGCGCTACTTTCCATCTTAGAATAGTAAAAACATACACGTTATAATATTATAATTGCTTAAACCTTACTTCGTATAAATCATACATTCTTATCGTTGTTCACCCAAAAAGAAACACATACAAATTGATTCTGCACAAACAAAAAAAACGAAAAGTGTTCTTCATAAACGAACGGCCGAAGTGCGTCATTAAAGATGGCAGAACATATTTTTCTCTTGCGTTCTCCATTGATTATTATAGACCGACAGTTTATGTAGCCAGCAGAGAACGCAAGAGAAAAAAAGAAACAACCGCGTCATAAAAAAAACAGTGATAGGAGGTTGTGCGTATCCTATGTAGACGATAATACAAATAATGGACATTATTCTACAAGATAACGTTCATCTGATTACTACCATTTTTTACCATTTAAACTGAATTTTTATTTAAATTTTCCATGAAAATTCAATTTAAATGGTAAAAAATGGTAATAATCAGCTGGAAACGCAAGGAGCAGCTACATGGTTAGGGGCTAATGAATCAGAAGCCGATGAACGTTATTTTGTAAAATAATGTCCATTATTCTATATTATCATCTGCATGAGATACGCACAACTTTCTTATTCTGTTTTTTTTATGATGTAGTTGTTTCTTTTTCTTCTCATGACACGCGGAGACGACAAAACGTCTTTTTTTCTCTTGCGTTCTCTGCTGGCTACATAAGCTGTCGCTCTATAATAATCAATGGAGAACGCAAGAGAAAAATACTGTTCCAACATGTTTAATGACACACACTCACGAGAACTTAGTAAATAATGATGCAATGTCATTGCATTATCTTGTGAAAACTTATGAAAATAGACTATATGATGCAACTTATATGTTATTTTTCATATCATGGTAACGTCGAACAGTACGAACGATATTGATTAGCGAGTTGTGAAACGTTGGATGAAAAAGAAGTTTTCTCGTCGGGAACGTTCTAGCGGCGGATGCGTCTTTAAAAGAATGTTGTTTCACTCCAGAATCAAAGTGAACCTTCTTTGAGCGTTTGTGTCTCAGCTACGATTAAAAGGAATCATATAAGTCGAGAGAGAAACACATTACTGACGTGGGGTCTAAAAAAAGCAAGACGAGAGGCGAAGTGGGGTAGCATATATTCTCAGGCAGTTGTATCTTTACTCTTACATTTTTCTTCTTATCAGTATCACAACCAGAGGGTGTGGGTGTGAAAGCATTAGTACTTATACACCCATACCCTCAAGATGGTACTTACAAAAATAATTTATTAAATAAAATAAATAATTAATTAATTGACAGACATAATTTGTGCATTTTCAATCAATGCTGGAGCTGCAATGAATCCTGCATAAGAATTGCAAAGATTTATTTGTAAAATTTTATTACATTTTAGGCTCGTAATTTTGGTCCACGTCTTTTTGAATCAGTTGAATACGATTAGAGCAATGCATTTAGTATAGATAATTGTTTCTTTTTTGTACAAATAAAAGCAGTAAGAGCTGCTGATAAAAATATTGTTAGTAGTAAAGATAGTCCTGTAAAAGCTACTCAGTCATGTCTTGACGGGAATGGTTATATTAATGATTATCCAACAAGTCGTCTTCTTCGTGATGCCAAACTATGTGAAATAGGTGCTGGTATAAGTGAAATTCGACGATTACTTATTGGCCGCTCGATTAATGGAGAGTATGGTATTAAATCTTAGATCTAAGATTTAAATCATTTTCTAGTGTTTTCCGCCAATAACTTTTATTAAATAAATAAAAAGATAATGCAGGAGATGTTTAGATTGAGGCAGAGAAAAACATATATCATCATCCGTTTAATCAGTACACATTGTGTGCATATGATAAATGTCGTGAAAGAACAAAATGACTTTAAGTTAAAATGTGTTCGTGCATTATCTTGAGGAAGTGGGTGTAGATGTGAGAGTATTAGTATTTAAACAACCACCCACACCCACACCCGTTTTTCCAAATTCTTGTCTGTTTGGGTATGGTTATGTACTCTTTCTTCTCCTTTCTCTAATAACAGTTATTACCTTTCTGATAAACAAATATTAACTCAGTATAATTATTCTCTTCTTGGTTTTCTCTCTTTTTCTCATTATAGTTTTTGTTTCACGTCATATAGACGAAATAAAACAACAAAAACTCTCAAAAAAGCACGATCATAATCAAAAGACCGAAATTATTTTTTCTCCGATATTATATAAAACATATTTCTCTTTCTCTATTGATTAATATACGAATAGAAGTATAAGATAAATACCATTTATTACTTTTTTTTTATAATATCATACTCGACACTTCGATCATTATGACTACATCGGATTTAACTATTAATGATTTATCGAAAAATGGTAATTCCGCAAAGATTATTTATTCTAAACCACATGATTGTACAGTTCAACCTAAAGAATCAATAAATTATTCAAATACTCATACTCAACTTCATCAACCTCAATCGACGTACAATATTGATTCTATGTCACCTTCTATCTATCTCAATCAAAATATATTTCAATACACAGAAAAAATCAGTAATTACACAATGTGGTCTATTATAAATATTTTCTGTTGTTGTTTATGTCTTGGTTGTATTGCTTTTCATTATTCAAGCAAGACAAAAGATTTAAAAAGAGCAGGTCTTGTGCTAGATGCATTACAAGCTTCCAAGAATGCTCGTGATATCAATAAATTTGCTACAATAATGGGTATATTCTTTTGGATTCTCTTGTTTACCAATTTTCTTATTAAAATTAATTCTTCGGCATTTTGAAACATTTTCATTGATTATTTTAACTTAATCTATTTAGACTATTTCAAACTATCATTTCTTATTTCAGTTTTAATAAAGAAAAAATATCATTAATAAAATACAGTTTATTCTTAATTATGTTTATTCATTGAAATAGTTTTATAATTAAACAAATATAAATCATCTTGAGGGTGTGGGTGTTAGTTTAAGTGCGCGGGTGTGGATGTTAGAGCATTAGCATTTAAAACTTATACCCACACCCTTAATATTGTAGAATACTATATTTCATAGAAGTACATTTTAGATTAAAAAATATCCTTCTAATGAAATCTATTAGATTCAATATAAAATAAATCTCATATAATCATGGTAAAAGTCTATCATTGGATGAAACGTTCGATATATTGTTTTATTACTGTTCTATACTTAGATGCATTTCTAATCTCTTTCTTTCGATTTCTTTCTTCTTGTATGCGCACTTTAAAATCAATATCAGTTTATCATTCTGTCACATGCTTTACTTGTACACATGGTGTGACTTAATCTTTGTACTTTTATCCTAACTATCACTCTTTTATATAATTATCTTTACGCTCGTCCCACATACTATATATAAGGAACGAAACCAATACAGCTAGTTACGATTCCTCATATTAAAAATAAACATATGTAGATACTAGTCTTCCAATAATGATTGTTATATCAGAAATCATCATAGATGATTCTTATCTATTTCAAATAATAGAATAATTATCAAATAATTATGGATGTGGGTGTAGGTATCACAACAAATTTTCATCCACACCCATCCTTGTAGTTTCTCTGTGATCTCAATTTTACTTTTTTCTCTTTACAAGATTCTAGTTGGCTTTTTCTAAGTGAATACGAAGAAAAAAAGCTATGAGAATAATTCCATATGTGCTTTGTTCTTACTGTAATCACTTCAGAAAATATCTTGTTACATACCTCCTATCGAGAGAAACGAATAAAAGCATTAAACAAGCTTGTTGTTACCCTATCATTTGATTTATATTATAAGTTTTTATGTTGAAGTAGCATTTAGTGCACGATACTTTTTTCATCGAAAACAACATCAATTATAGGTAAGCATAAACAGTTTTACTCGCTTTTAATGAAGTGTAGTCTAAATAATTATGTGATTTGTACGTATAAACTGAAATGTAGGTGTGAGCTAAGATAGAAGACACATTCACACCACCCCTTACTCTCATCTATACCCTCAATTCTTAGACGGTTTGACGGAGTCATGTATATACTCCAATGTATAAATGAACGCCTTCAAAATACGCTTTTTATGGCGAAGCAGAGCAAACTTTATTCACTGATTTATAACTTGTTTTTAGCTATATTGACGTACGAGGAACACACTAAAAAGACAATAATAGCGCTCTTTTTCAAGATGATTGACATGAGAATTTGAACATCCTTATATTTCTTGACATTTGAAAACCTTCGATGTTCTGATGAAGTTTTTGTTATAATAATAGGTATTTTTCACCACATTTTGAAGAATGGCATCAGGAAGAAGCAACAATTACCATGATCTAGAAGAAAGAATAGACAAATTCGAAAGAGAAATGCTTCAGATGATTAAAGATATAGCTAACGATGCTAGAGAAAAACTTTATCTGTTAATTGATAAAGAAAGACATGATGTGAGAGCACAATGCAATGTATTAGATTTAAAATGTGATAAAGATGATTATTGGGAATTGCATTTAAATGTATTAAAAAACAACATAGAACAAATCCGAAATGAATTGAATGAAATAAATAATGCTCAAAATAATAAAAAAGACATTTATGTGCATCCAATTCATCGGACGAATTCAGCGGAAATCTATGTTGAAGATTGTCAACAACAAAGCGAAGATGCGCATGAAGAAACCAGTATAATATCAAATGATAACGCAGAAATTAAATTGACACATCATGAACCTGAGACAACAGTTAATATTCGGAGTGGATTTTATTCACGAATAGCAACATCTGACTATCATTTACTTCATTGTTCGAAAGATGAACTATATGCTTTCAATATAATTGATATAGATCAACCACATCCTATTCCTTGGGATAAGGACGATTGGGTAATCGACATATGTTATTCAACTTTATTAAAACTTTTTTTAATATGGAGTAATAGTGGGTTTTATACATTTAATTCAACAACGATGACAAAACAAATAATAGAGAATATTCCTGATACTGGAGCTGGATGGTATCGTTGTACATGTTTCAATGATTTCTTGTTTCTATCATATGATCATGATGTTGAACAAAGAAAAATTGAAATAGAAAAAAATGAATATAGCTTAATAAACCAATGGAAGTTAGTTATAAAAAATGACGATGATGTGATTGTTGGTATGAAAATGAATGATCAACGTATTGTGTTAGCCATCGGAAAATACGGTAGAAGCACACGCTTTGAATTCCGTGATTATACAATGAATATATT